ATGCATGCAAATCATTCAAACTATTAGATCTTCTGTGTACAAGCTTTGCTCTATGGTGCAAGTTTGGACAGTCAAGAACATCTTTTATTTGTCAATACTCCATATCACAAATAAGTGGTGTATTGGACATGTCTTAAGTCAAAACTTAAAATTGACCAAATATTGTTCTGAATACGTAGACCAAGTATATTCTTAATATAATAATTTTCTTGTGTTTTGTGCATATAATATAGTAAAAAAATAGTGGTCAAAGGCAATCTTGAAGACCGTGTCAGTCTCCAAAACGTCACCTATTTGACATATGGAGGGAGTTTATATAATATGTCAGTGTGCTTATGTCTTATTCCTTGTTCTAACTGGGTTAGTTTATCCTTCTTTTTCTTAGGGTGGAGACACAGGATGGTGGAGATGCAAAGGTTGAAGTTTCACCACGTGACATTGTTTACATGGAAAATGCTGAGCCCATAAATGGCGAACAACCAGAAATCCTACATAAACTTGACCTCCGATATGGGTATGTTCTCTGAACTTCCATTTATCTACTCAAGTAGGACTGGAAATCTTTGTTTCACTGCACGATGTTATGGTTAAGCTTTGTGCTTTGACATAGGGCATTACTGCTAGCAGGAAATTTCAAATATAGAGTACTGGTGTAAAATCATCCATATAAAATTGTACATAGGAAGTCCTAATCCAAATCAGCTATTCTTTTTACAACGTCCTATCATTTTTTTTTTCATCTTGTGTGCCAAGTAATTAATTATTCCCACTTTACTCTCTCTCTTGCTTTCATTCTGTTGGTACAGAGGAATCTCTTGGTGTGATGAATCTCTTGCTTTGGTGTATGAATCATGGTACAAAACTCGGAAAACAAGAACATGGGTGGTTGCTCCAGACAAGAAAGATGTCAGTCCGCGCATTTTATTTGACAGATCTTCAGAAGATGTGTACTCTGATCCTGGCTCACCAATGCTGCGAAGAACTGCCATGGGAACATATGTTATTGCAAAAGTTAATAAACAAGATGGAAGTACTTACCTCTTGCTGAATGGAATGGGTGCCACACCAGAAGGAAACGTTCCATTCCTTGACTTGTTTGATATGTATGTCCAATTGTCCATATCCATTAATGATTTCATTTGTTTTGTACTCCCTCCGCAAAGAAATATAAGAGCGTTTATAGATCACTAAAGTAGTGATCTAAATGCTCTTATATTTTCTTTAGAGGGAGTGCCATGCATTCTAGATGCCAGCTGATGCCTTTATTTTTGTTTTTGCAGAAATACTGGAAGTAAAGAGCGAATATGGGAAAGTGACAAGGAAAAATACTTTGAAACTGTTGTTGCCTTGATGTCAGACAAAATTGATGGGGACCTTCCCCTTGATCAGTTAAAGATACTTACATCAAAAGAATCAAAAACAGAAAATACACAATATTACCTACAAATTTGGCCGGAAAAGAAGCAAGTGCAGATTACAAAGTTTCCCCACCCATACCCCCAGCTTGCTTCATTGTATAAGGAAATGATAAGGTACCAGCGCAAAGATGGGGTTCAACTAACAGCAAAGTTGTATCTACCTCCAGGTTATGATCAATCAAAAGATGGACCTTTGCCATGTTTAGTTTGGTCATACCCTGGTGAGTTTAAAAGTAAAGATGCTGCGGGACAAGTACGTGGTTCCCCTAATGAGTTTTCAGGGATTGGTGCTACATCTCCTCTTCTTTGGTTGGCTAGAGGGTATTATTTCTCTTCTTGCTATTCAAGGAAAAAACACATGCCATTTATTTCCTATTGTTGTTTCTCATGACAAAAACCTGATTCGCTCCCTTAACCTCCAAATCTAGCCTAAGTTAAAATTTGATGCACTTCTTCCGAATATGTTTCTTTCTGGCACATAGTCTCACTCAACACACTTTGGTTTGCAGGTTTGCTATTCTTTCAGGTCCGACAATTCCGATTGTTGGTGAAGGTGATGTAGAGGCGAACGACAGGTGTTTTTGTTATTTCTGCCCTATTGCATTTCCTTCTATATGTCCGAGATTGTGAACTATACCACACTTGTGCCATGGAACTAATTCTATTGTGAATGCAAATTGTTTTGTAGTTATGTGGAACAACTAGTAACTAGTGCAGAGGCTGCCGTCGAGGAAGTTGTCAGGAGAGGGGTGAGCATTTCGTAATTCTTTTTGTGAGCCTTTGTGGGCAATGACTTCTAAGGGTTTGGTATGATATCTTCTATCACTTCTCTATAGGTGGTTCATCCTGATAAAATTGCTGTTGGTGGTCATTCGTATGGTGCATTCATGACAGCAAATCTCTTAGCTCATGCTCCTCATCTTTTCTGCTGCGGAATTGCTCGTTCTGGAGCTTACAACAGGACCTTAACTCCATTTGGTTTTCAGGTACACACTAATGCTGAATGGGTAACTGCCAATCTGGTGCAGGTTTTAGTTTTTCAGTCTTTCTTAACCGCCTGCATTGTTCTGCAGAATGAGGACAGAACACTTTGGGAGGCAACTAACACCTATGTGGAGATGAGCCCTTTCATGTCGGCTAACAAAATCAAGAGACCAATATTACTTATTCATGGGGAGCAAGACAACAATTCTGGAACACTGACAATGCAGGTGAAGTCCTAAGCATCAACTTAATTTTAACCTGTGACTGTAAGATAACAGTCATTTTGCAGAAGGGTTAGTGGTGTTCAACTTTGAACTACTGCTCCCACCTCTTTTGTTTGAATACTTTTAATCACAAATTCTTTTAGGTGTGCATAGTTTATCTTGCAAATATATTTGTTTTTCATGTGGAATCTCACTAGTAGTTGTATAATCGACCAAGCTGCTAAATTGATAGGCATAGTGTAAACAGACACTGTACCAAGACCCTAAGAAATTTGATTTGTTGTTCCAGGTTTTGCGTAAATGTAATTGTCTACCTACCTCCTGCATCTTACATAGTAAAGTAATACTCGGGTTAACGTTGCCTGAAATGCACTGTCTTTTGAGAGAAGCAAAATCTGTGCATTGTTATGGGTTGATGTTTTGTCCTAATGTTCATACGATTGTTTATTTCCTGGTGTATAGCTAATTAGCTGTTTTATTTGGAGGATAGTTTTGTATCACCTAACCTTGATATTTCAATTACAGTCGGACCGATTCTTCAATGCGTTGAAGGGTCATGGTGTACAGTCTCGTTTGGTAATACTTCCTTTTGAAAGCCATGGGTACTCTGCCAGGGAGAGCATTATGCACGTGCTTTGGGAGTCTGACAGGTGGCTGCAGAAGTACTGTGTAAACGGCACTAGCAAGGCTGATTCAGAGACAGCAGCTGATGGAGAAAGTAAAAAATTGGCAGCCAGTGGTGGTGGAGCAGCATCTGAAGGTCTAAGCTCCGACGGATTCTCATCAATCCCACGATCGCTTCTGTGGTAACTTCTTATTGTTGCTTTTCTTATGATGCTAAAATCCATTTCGTTGCTTACTCACCATCTCATCCATTTCCTTATCGACGCCAAATCATATTTAAACAAATGAATTTCAGCAGCTTGTTATTTTATGTAGCTTATTATAGAATTAACATCTCACTCAGTTAGGTGTGCATCCCGTCCATGTTAACATTTGTATGTTTATTACGATGTATGCTTCAGTAAAAAAGGTGATGAATTCTTTTCGTGTCGTTCAGATCAACTACTGTTAAGATGTACGGGAAATAAAATCATCTCTGGACAGCATGCACAGGCCAAAAGGAAAATAAAATGTGCTGCCGAACTTGTATGAACCTGTGCTTCTTCCAGGCTTAAGACTGGATGGCCATTGTATTTTGACTGCATTTCCGCAGAAGGTGATTGTTCCATAGATTGGTGGGGGTTAAGGAAAGCTTCACATTGTCGGATATTGCGCCCTGGCTGAATTCTCAACTGTAATTTTGTTGGTGGGGACGCCCAAGATACTGTAATTTTGTACCCACTTAGCGACAATGTACAGGTGTAGACTAGTGCGTACCATTACCAAAACAGTCGCTGCGTGCAGTGTTCTATTGTTTGACCGCGGAAATAAATTTATGATGGAGAACAGCTTAATATGTTGGCGTTTGAGATTACTGAACTGAAACAATCAGTGAAGTTCATGTCCTGCTCATTCTACTGTTCTTCGGTGAAGTCCTTGGCAGCGTGTCCAAATGAAACGTAATCACTAAGGGCAACTCCAATGCCGGATCACCAAATTGGAAACATCCGAATTAATCTCTCGTACATGAGGGCAACTATAACGTGGATCATCAAATCGAACACACCCAAATGAAATGTAATCTCTAGGACATAAGGGGCAATTCATGTGGATCACCAAATCCGATACATAAGGGCAACTCAAACGTGGATCATTAAATCAAACACACCCAATCTCTAGTACATAAGGGGCAATTCACGCGGATCACCAAATCCGATACATAAGGGCAACTTATGCGGATCATCAAATTGGACACACTAAACGTCCACGGACACTTCCAAAAACAAAACATCGGACATACTAAACGCCCGTAGACACATTTAAAAATAGTTGGTGGACACGTTCCAAAAACAGCGGGTGGACGCTCTTTATTTTTTGGAGACACGTCTAAAAATAGTTGATGGGCACACTCTTTATTTCACACACTAAATGGCTGTGAACGGGTCAAAAAATAGTTGGTGGACGTTCTTTATTTCGCACACACTAGTGCGAACACATCCGAATACAGTTGGTGGACGTTTTTTATTTCGGACAAATTAAACGTGTGTGAACACTCAGTACTTTCTTCGTCTGAAATTACTTTATTATACTAAAATGGATGTATCTAGGCGCAGTAGTGGTGCACGCTCTTTATTCAAAAGATAAAAAGCGACCTGGAGGAAAAATACATACAAAATTAACGCTGTCCACTTCAACAGCCGGACGTGAACACGCCACAGCAGCAGAGGCATGAAACCAGCCATATTGGCATGGACGCGTGAAGCTTGCATGCATGCACAGCTTTGCCAGCTCCATCGATGAGTGCTCTAGACGGCAGCTACATATACCCCGTGCTCCTCGTTCCATAGCTCACCAAGCAGCCCGATCCACCACTCCACTCCACTCCACTCCTGTGCCTCAGAGTTCATCAAGTACTCGTCAGGTACCAGGTAAAATGGATGCCCAGAACAAGGAGGTCGACGCCCTGGTCCATAAGATCACCGGCCTCCACGCCGCCATCGCCAAGCTGCCGTCCCTCAGCCCATCCCCCGATGTCGACGCGCTCTTCACCGACCTGGTCACCGTGTGCGTGCCCCCGAGCCCCGTGGACGTGACCAAGCTCGGCCCGGAGGCGCAGGAGATGCGGGAGGGCCTCATCCGCCTCTGCTCCGAGGCCGAGGGGAAGCTGGAGGCGCACTACTCCTACATGCTCGCCGCCTTCGACAACCCGCTCGACCACCTCGGCATCTTCCCCTACTACAGCAACTACATCAACCTCAGCAAGCTCGAGTACGAGCTCCTGGCGCGCTACGTGCCCGGCGGCATCGCCCCGGCCCGCGTCGCCTTCATCGGCTCCGGCCCGCTGCCGTTCAGCTCCTACGTCCTCGCCGCCCGCCACCTGCCCGACACCATGTTCGACAACTACGACCTGTGCGGCGCGGCCAACGACCGCGCGAGCAAGCTGTTCCGCGCCGACAAGGACGTGGGCGCCCGCATGTCTTTCCACACCGCCGACGTCGCGGACCTCGCTGGCGAGCTCGCCGCGTACGACGTCGTCTTCCTGGCCGCGCTCGTGGGCATGGCTGCCGAGGACAAGGCCAAGGTGATCGCGCACCTCGGCGCGCATATGGCGGACGGGGCGGCCCTCGTCGTGCGCAGCGCGCACGGCGCGCGTGGGTTCCTGTACCCGATCGTCGATCCCCAGGACATCGGTCGCGGCGGGTTCGAGGTGCTGGCCGTGTGTCACCCCGACGACGACGTGGTGAACTCCGTCATCATCGCACAGAAGTCCAAGGACATGCATGCCAATGAACACCGCAACGGGCGTGGTGGACAGTACGCACGGTGTTAGCAATAATCTTGCGTCAAGTTAGAAGATGGCATGTAGTAGTGAGTTCATGTACTAGTATCGTGGCTAAGAAAGGAGAAAAAGAAATAAAGAGAAAGAGAGGCACGACACGTGTCTTTGGCAAAAGTTATTGTGTGCGCGTCTCTGTCTTAATTTGATGTGATTGATCCTGTAGGCAGAATTCCAACAAGTGGTATCAGAGCTAGGTCGATTTGAAGCCACGCTTGCCCCGGGGTCGCGACCCGATTAGTGCCTCGGGGCGGGCGATATGGTTGCTGGGTGGTGCAGCGACGATCAAGAGCGTGCCATGATGTTGCTGGGTGATGCAACGACGAGGAGGGATCTGGCGATCGTCGTTCGGCGGAGCGACAAGGAGCGAGACGGTAGGCTGTCGTCGGGAAGGCGGTGGAAGATCGTTGACGGGAGCGGTGGTGCCGTGGTGCGGTGCCGGAAAGCCATCATCGTCGTCATGTCCAAGTGCTCGTCTCTGTGAGGAGGCGTTGAAGATGAAGCGCATCCAAGTTGTCTATGTGTCTCGACGAAAGGATCAAGTTCAAGTATGTGGGGGCGGTAAACCAGTGAAGGTGAGTCTCTTCAATGAGGCCATGTCTCTACATGAGGCTGGAGTGGGCGGTGTAGTCCATGGGGTGGTGTGATCCACAAGGAGCCGGCATGTATCTCGCTAGGGTGGATGGTGCAGTCTACTGGGTGGGGTTTTCCACAGGTTACTGGCGAGGCTGGGTAGTTCAAGGCATATTTGAGGTGGTCTGTAAATTCGCCAAGTTGAAATTGGGGAGAGATTGTTGCGATCAATGAAGCCTATCAGTTTAACTTGTCGTGGTGTGAGCGGATGGGTCGACAAGGGGTGAATCATCAACAAGTCAAGACCGGAGAAACACGGAAGACAAAGTGTGTCAAGATTAGGGAGAGAATATTAGCAATAATCTTGCGTCAAGTTAGAAGATGGCATGTAGTAGTGAGTTCATGTACTAGTATCGTTATCGTGGCTAAAAAAGAAGAAAAAATAATAAAGAGAAAGAGAGGCACGATACGTGTCTTTGGCAAAAGTTATTGTATACGCGTTTCTTTCATAATTTGATGTGATCAATTCTGTGGGCAAAATTCCAACACATGGAACACAGTGCCGGTGGTCAGCCCGCCGTGCAGGTTCGGCGAGATGGTGGCGGATGCGACCCAGAAGAGAAAGGAGTTCGCCAACGCCGAAGTGGCCTTCTGATCGTCGCGAGGGAATGAAAACGAATGGGCGTGTGTGGTCCTCATCCATACGTGGCTGCTTAATCGCAGGCAATCGTACGTGGTAGTTTTACTACTACTACTATCTATGCATTTGAAGTCATGTGTTGTTATGACCTAATAATGTAGTAAGTGTGATGTTTACAATTACAAGCGCATGTCTTGTAGACTTGTCTATGAAAGGCAGGCTAGACCAGGATAGTGTGCCATATGTGTCGTTGTAGGTGTAAGTGTTGAGAATAAGATGATTTTCCTTCACAAATGCTATGATGTAATCGGTGTCTTATATGTATCGAGTACTCCCTCCGTTCGGAATTACTTGTCGTAGAAATGAATGTATCTAGATGTATTTTAATTCTAGATACATCTATATCCGAGACAAGTAATTCCGAACGAAGGGAGTACATTTGTTCAGTTGTCAAGTTGCTCGCTAATCTGACGCATGACCCATGTTTGCTTTTGACCTCTGATGAATCCGTCCATGGCTCGACGAGCCTCGTCAGGGGATCAACTTCATGGTTTCTGTTAGAGCCATAACCGTTTGTCAGGCACTTTGATTATGTAAATTGGAGTGTTTGATGTTGAAGCCATGATAAACCTCATCGGCATTGTTCACTTTGTATACTAGTACTACATACACACATATTGATGGACGTGTGTTTGAGGACACGTGCAGGGTGGTGGCGCTGTCTCACATTATAATGGCGTCGAAGGTAGTTGGGCCTGACAAGATCAATTCGAGGATCTCTCCTGAAGTTGGGACAGTGGAAGATGGCGACGGCGGATTTTGGAGCGTGCGCATGCGGTGCGTGTTTAGGGTTTGCTAGACCGGTTGGTGTTCTCGGCTCGCTGTGTGGCGGCTTGGTGAGGCCACCGGATAGGATGGTGTGCGTTGATGCGGTCACGGCACATCATCAAGCTAGTAGCTATAGCGACATAGGTCACCAGAAATGTGACTTTGGATTGATCTATGTATTTGTTCTTGTCAAACTCTTTGAATAATTTAATAAATATTGTTGTGTGCATCGTTCGATGCAGAGGCTGGAAGTTATCCTTCTTTTCAAAAAATGCATATATACAGAGTAAAAGTTGCCGTTACAAATGAACTGGTCACAGATAAGCAAGAGAGAGTACTCTATACCTTCTATTGTTGTAGGAATAATCAATTTTATCCGGGGTCCTGACATGATGAGGATGGGGCCTAGTTTGAGAAGCAACATGTCATGACTTTCCGCAAGGCCATGGTGGGAGTCTCGCCCCACGACACGCCCAGAAAGATTGGGAGGCCCTGGGATCATCCCGTCAGGGATGTGCTCTCCACAAGGTCTAAGGAATCACCAGGAGGCTGGGATCATCACTTCATTCGGATGTGAAGCTTCACCCAAATTTGACACCATCCACGACATTCTACCAAGCGCCTCGGCCACGGTTGCGCTCAAAGATCCAAGGATCGACCCTCATTTGAGGCTCTGCCTCGTGACATCACTGCTGGCGAGCTGACAATGCCTCAGGATCGCTCGCGTCCTCATAAAGGCCACAAACAAGTTAGGCCCCCCTCCAAGAGGAAAGCTCGGAAGAAGCACAAGAAGAGTTGACGTGGTGCATGCCCTCAGAAGACATTCCCCTTCATGCACGAAGGAAGATCGTTCGCCCCCAAGGGCGTACATAGCCGATGCAAAGGCCACCACTACATAAAGAAGTCATCGATGAGCACTCGCTCGCCATGAGGAAATGCCAAGATTGCTCTCAAAGCCGTTCCAATGAAGAAGGAAGCAAACCCAATTCTTTGGGCTAACTTCATCACCCACGAAAGCCCAGGCTAACGAACAACTCTTGCGCGATGCAAATCGAGGAGGCGCACTTCTCGGGAAAGTTCAAACAACCAACCATCAAGACGGTCACAGGAGAATCCAACTCGCCTCACTCATGGAAGTATACACTATCGCCACCTGGGCAAACGAGGCAGCCCCACGTAAGTGTATGGTCCATTTCCCGCTCCCACAAGCCAGGGCTACTTCAACTTAGCTCTTTGATCAAATGAAGAACTTCATCCAACCCTAGGAAGCGTTAGCGCCCGGGCACGAGGCATCCTCAAATCCACTACCCATGCGGGGAATATCATCATCGTAGTTTCCTCCTCAAGGAAAGGCTCCCAAAGGCCATGCGAGGAGCGCGTGAGATGTTGCAAGGTTCTAGGAGCTCCACAAGCCACGCCTTCGGCAAGGTGGAAAAGTATCCTGCGTACATCCACTACGACACAATGTTTTCCAAAGCACTCGAGGAACACACTCAAGGAACATGGCGTGCGTCATGCTCGATGAAGCCACGGGGAGGATGTCGGTGAGACACTCTGTGTAACTCCCAACATGCGGTCCTAGCCCCATAGAAGACTTTGCAATCTCTGCTAAGGATAGAAGCGCATATTGGTCACCCCAACATATGACTTCATAAAATACACGTAGGGCCATATTTTGGTGAACATGATGGACATCAAAACAAGTACAACTGAAAGAGGTGAAGAGATAATGTGAGTGAGAATAGGGCAAACATATGCAAATACATAAATATCTCTCCAATCAGAGGCCAACACGACCCAACATTACATTATTCATTGCAACGAAAGAAGGCACGAACCCGAGTACAGATAAGAAGTAAATATGCCTAAGAGGCAAGAGAAATAAGCAAAGCGCCCACCCTATAGTCCCATACTACCCATCAAGAACCCCAAATCCAGTCGTCGAAGAAGAAGAACAAAAAGAAACTCCACGTAGAATGTTCCATGCTCCCGCCTTAGAGAAAAGCTTACATGTACATGTACCTGCACCTGGAGTTGTTGTGGTATCTGTGTGTTGGGGAACGCAGTAATTTCAAAAAAAATCCTACACACACGCAAGATCATGGTGATGCATAGAAACGAGAGGGGAGAGTGTCGTCCACGTACCCTCGTAGACTGTAAGAGGAAGTGTTATGAGAACGCGGTTGACACAGTCATACGTCTTCACGATTCGACTGATCCAAGTAACGAATGTACGACACCTCCGAGTTCAGCACGAGTTCAGCTCGGTGACGTCCCACGAACTCCGATCCAGCAGAGCTTCGAGGGAGAGTTCCGTCAGCACGACGGCGTGATGACGGTGATGATGATGCTACCGACGCAGGGCTTCACCTAAGCACCGCTACGATATGACCGAGGTGGATTATGGTGAAGGGGGGCACCGCACACGGCTAAAAGATCAACTGATCAACTTGTGTGTCCTAGGGTGCCCCCTTCCCCACGTATATAAAGGAGGGAGTGGAGGCCGGCCGGCCCCTCTAGGCGCGCCAAGCGGGAGGAGGAATCCTCCTCCTAGTAGGAGTAGGATTCCTCCTTTCCTAGTCCTACTAGGAGGGGGAAGGAAGGAGAAGGGGAGGAGAAGGAAAGAGGGGGCGCAGCCCCTCCCCTAGTCCAATTCGGACTAGGCCCATGGGGGGCACGCGTCCCGCCCTCGTGGCTTCTCCTCTTTTTCCCTTAAATCCCACTAAGGCCCATATGTACTCCCGTATTCCCGTAACTCCCCCGGTACTCTGAAAAATACCCGGATCACTCGGAACCTTTCCGATGTCCGAATATAGCCTTCCAATATATCGATCTTCACGGCTCGATCATTTCGAGACTCCTTGTCATGTACGTGATCTCATCCGGGACTCATAACAACCTTCCGTACATCAAACCACATAAACTCATAATACCAATCGTCACCGAACGTTAAGTGTGCGGACCCTACGGGTTCGAGAACTATGTAGACATGACCGAGACATGTCTCCGGTCAATAACCAATAGTGGAACCTGGATGCTCATATTGGCTCCTACATATTCTACGAAGATCTTTATCGGTCAAACCGCATAACAACATACATTGTTCCCTTTGTCATCGGTATGTTACTTGCCCGAGGTTCGATCGTCGGTATCTCAATACCTAGTTCAATCTCGTTACTGGCAAGTCTCTTTACTCGTTCCGTAATGCATCATCCCGCAACTAACTCATTAGTCACATTGCTTGCAAGGCTTATAGTGATGTGCATTACCGAGAGGGCCCAGAGATACCTCTCCGACAATCGGAGTGACAAATCCTAATCTCGATCTATGCCAACTCAACAAGTACCATTGGAGACACCTGTAGAGCACCTTTATAATCACCCAGTTATGTTGTGACGTTTGGTAGCACACAAAGTGTTCCTCTGGTATTCGGGGGTTGCATAATCTCATAGTCAGAGGAACATGTATAAGTCATGAAGAAAGCAGTAGCAACAAACTAAATGATCATCGTGATAAGCTAACGGAATGGGTCAAGTCAATCACATCATTCTCTAATGATGTGATCCCGTTAATCAAATGACAACTCATGTCTATGGCTAGGAAACTTAACCATCTTTGATTCAATGAGCTAGTCAAGTAGAGGCATACTAGTGACACTTAGTTTGTCTATGTATTCACACATGTACTAAGTTTACTGTTAATACAATTCTAGCAGGAATAATAAACATTTATCATGACATAAGGAAATAAATAATAACTTTATTATTGCCTCTAGGGCATATTTCCTTCAGTCTCCCACTTGCACTAGAGTCAATAATCTAGTTCACACCGTCATGTGATTTAACATCAATAGTTCACATCTTTATGTGTTTAGTTCACATCTCCATGTGACTAACATCCAAAGGGTTTACTAGAGTCAATAATCTAGTTCACATCGCTATGTGATTAACACCCAAAGACTGATCATGTTTTGCTTGTGAGAGAAATTTAGTCAACGGGTCTGCCACATTCAGAGTCGTACGTATTTTGCAAATTTTCTATGTCTACAATGTTTTGCACAGAGCTACTCTAGCTAATTGCTCCCACTTTCAATATGTATCTAGGTCGAGACTTAGAGTAGTCTAGATCAGTGTCAAAAGCTTGCATCGACGTAACTCTTTATGACGAACTCTTTTATCACCTCCATA